AAGGCCATCGCAAAGCCCAAATAAAGCCACGTGTGTTTATCTTATTCGATTTGTGGCTCGGTGGACATTCTGCGTCGAATTTACGACGAATATAAATTCTATATATGGACGCACCCCTCCTCACTTCGTCGCTCATTCCTCTTGTCCTATATCCTCTACCTGCCTTCCCTCCAATTCTCGCCTTCTCTCTTATTAAAGGTATGTTTTTACTTTTTTAAAAATATTTAATTATTATTAATTTAGAATTAGAATAGGTTTAGGTCTGGAATTAGTTTAGGATCGGAATTTGTCAGATTTAGGATCGGAATTAGATAATGGGTTCGGAAAATAAATTTAATTATTAATTTTTTTTCTGTTTTGCAGACGATGACTCGTCGGAGGACGCACTACATCAACTTCATGGCGGACGGACACTCTCTTTCCCGGACATCTGCCTCGGGAAATACCGAGATCCCGTCATCCTCTGGAGCCTCCCAGGTTCCGAATACTGCGGCTGAGCAGTCTCCACCACCGCCTCCACCACCACCTCCACCACCGGCTCCTAAACCCCGTCCTCCTCAATCGTATGCCCAATTTACGGTTGAGGACTTACTAGTCCTACCCGGAAAAGCGGAACCAGACTCTTATTAGTAAGTAAAAATTTGTTTATATTATATTTTTTTAAAATAATTCATTAATATACTTAATTATTAATGTAATATGTTTTCTTTTGGTTTCATAGGTTTGACTTGGATAATTGTGCCGGTCGGAGCGTTTCCGACACAATTAGGAGCCATTTCGTCGAGCCTCACTACAACTGGAGCAGGGTGTCGCAAAAGACGTTCGACACCTGGTACAAATGCTTCGCGGTAATGTTTTTTTTCCTTCTTTCTAATTGTAATTCATTAATTATTTAAAATTTATCTTAATTTTATATTGTTTAATTTTTTGTTTTATTTTGCAGCAACGGTGGAACTGGGACATCGGGATCAACGAGACGGTCCGGGAAGCGTTCCGTCTGAAGGCGCAGAAACACTAAGTCAACACCGTTTCCGATTGGAAGCGGAAGTGGGAGACCGACGGCGACAACGCAAAGCCGAGCCCGATGTCCACTTCCTGCTGGAACGGGTTGAAGGCATATTGGATGGACCTGCATGCCCAAAACGTAGCTGCTAAGTGTTCGGCCGTTCGAAACCGGGTCGGTCCTGACAGTCAGAAATTAGTGACCCCGCACACTTCTGGCCAAATATCATTTGCGGGTAGACGTCTAATGATGGTGAGTAATTTTAATTATTTAATTATTTCTATTTTTCAATTATTTACATTTATATAATATATTTTTAAATATATATTTACTAATGTTTAATAGAAACTTTTTTTGGTAGGCCGAGGAGAACGGAGGAGAGATTCCGCCAATGACGAAGCTCTTCGAGACCACTCACCGGAAGAAAGACGGGACTCTTGTAGATGATCGGTCAGAAAACATCTACAATGCCGCTATTCAGAGGATCGCCGAGCGGGAAACCCAGGCAACACCTGACGGTACTATCCAAGTACCTTTGACCGTCCTCGAGCAAGACCAGATCTTCGAAGAGGTATGATCGATTTCAATATTTTTTAAATTTATTCTATATAATACTTAATTATCTGTATATATATGATCTAACGTTTTTATTTTTATTTGTAGGTTGCTCCGAAGAAGAATGGCCGCACCTTAGGGATGGGCTCTATTAGAGACTGTTCCGTCGCCTCGTCTTCCGGATACCGTACGCAGGAGGATCCGAGTCAACTTCGTCAGGAGCTTGCTACGGCCAATGCTGAGATCATTAGTCTACGACATGAGCAAGTGGCCCAGAAGCAGGAGCTCATCGAGATGAACAGCCTCTTCGACATCATAGCGGCAGCGGTTCCGCAGTTGGCCGCAATCCGAGAGAGGCAACGGCGAGCACGCGGGATTATTGCAGGTGGTACTTCCCGTGGACCTTCTGACCAGCAGACGCAGGGTCACCCGTAGTGCAGACAGAAAACGACGGTACAACAGCGACAGACGGACATGACAGAGAGCCTCCTCGAGACGTTGATCTCAACCTCGAGGATTATGAAATTACTTTGTAGATTAGTTTTTTTTTTAAACAATTTGTATTTAATTTTGTATTTTAATATATGAATTATTTTCGAATTTAAATTTTAAATTATAATTTCGTTTTATTTAATTTTCATTTATTAGATTATTTTAAAATTTTAATAATTAAATTAAAATCGAATTTTAATAATTATTTTTTGAATTCGACGTAAACTCGTCGTACATTTACATTGAATTTAAGGTAAATATTTTACGACGAATTAACGTCGATATATTTTACGTCGACTTTACGTTGATATTTTACGACGATTTTACGTCGATCTATAATAAATTCATTTGACTCTTACGAAATAGATCGTCTCGTAATCATTGTAAATTCGATGTAATGTTACATCGATTTTACGTCGTTGTTGTGTTTAAATGATTTCGTCGTACTTTCGTTAGAATTTTTACGTCGTTTTTATGACGAATAGTTTCCCACGATGTTACGACGATTTCCTTGTGTTGGCAATTTTACGACAATTTTACGATGAGTTCTCTTTTACGACGATTGTTTTACGACGATTTTTCATTCGTCGCTAATTCGACGCAAATGGTCCATTACGTCGATTTTACGTCGATATCTTCCGACGTAAAAGGCGTTCATTTCTTGTAGTGTTGGTAAAAAAAAAAATATATGGCTGCTGCTTTTATAACATGTGCTTGCAAGTTTTTGGCCAATTGGACTGATTTGTTTTCTTTGACTGCTTTGTTTTCTTTGAAATAGGTAAATCCAATATAGAAGCTAGCTGAAACTTGAGCAGGACTCTACATATATCTCGACCATGAACAAGTTTATTTATGGAAAAAATACTGAGATTTCATAAGGATCATCAGTGGATAGCCTTCGAGACATCATGGTGTATGGTGGCATAGACTCTCAGAAAATTACTTATTAAAAAAGTTAATAGCTAATTCATTATCCTCAGACATAATGATCCATCTAAAGCTGTTGTGATAAAATATAACAAGGGGAGATGCTTTTATTCATTTGATTAGGGTGAATACAAGTAGAGAGTATATCAACGAAGAGCGTATGATCTCCATCTCACTTTTAAGAAAAGAATAAAGTTTATATATAGCTAATTTCTAATGTGCACCAACAATAACTGATAGATTTCACAATAGCCGCACTAAAGTTTTTATGTGTTTATAGATTGTGCTTTGGAATACAATTTTTTTTTGGCAAATTAAAAGCATATAATCTCTCTTGTTTCAATTACTTTGTTTGTCCATTTGAAGTCCACAATATTGCTATCGACCATGAAAGATATGAGGAAAAAAAGTATTATTATTATTTTTTTTTTTGGTCAAAGAGGAAAAAAGTATTTTTAAGCAAGAAGTTATATACATCAGCAAAATTATGTCTATCAAACTCTTTTAAGTAATATCCATCCACAAGTTATTCAACTCCATTGTCAGAGACACCAACTGTTTTTAGATAGAATAGTCTCTATACATGGTGTTTCCATTGAAACATGCTAGTAGGATTTCTTTTAGCATATATATTTGATCACTGAGTGTACAAATACTCATGAAACAGATCATGACATAGGGTAGCCTTTGTTGACATGCATTTAGGTGGTGGCTTGGTGGATGAGGCATATTAGAGGATCAAAGAAGACATGTTTTATCTAAATGAATAGATAAATAAAATATATCCATCCAGTTCTGAAAAAGGCTGATTTAGGAGAAATTTGAGGAAAAAGTGAAAAAAATGTAAAAAGATTGTAGCTGAGAATTGAGATGGAAGAAAAAGGATTTTAAACATAGCTTTGTACTCTTGTTCTTATGCTTGTCTTTAGAAACTTAATATTTTGCATACAATTTTGGGACGAATTTACATTGAATCTGTGTTATATTCTTCATAAACGTGTCGCAAATATACGACCACCATATTCGTCTATTACGGACTTGGGACTTATATAGTACTTTAAAAATTGATAGAAGCATCATCCTAAATAAAATAGGAGACAACAATAGTATCTTATACATTGGAATTAATAAATAAATATTGGTGGTAAATTTAAAAAGTCAACTTATATAATGTAATATATATACAAACAGAATACAAATAGAAATGATTTATATAAAAATGCTACACAGGTGAGGTGGGCAAAAAGGAGAACCTGAGGCCAAACTTAATGGTCTTGTCCTAGCATATTCCTTGATGATTTAGTTTTTATCATGATATAATATATAATACTGCGGTTATTATGTGTCACTAATTATTTAAAGTTTAGAACAGTAATGGCTCGGCATCATGACATCTTAAATCCACATGACTTTCAACAAACTATTATAGTATTTAATTTTCTAAATGTGTTGTTGTTTGGGTTAAACATTGTATCAGGTGTAGGCCAATCTTATAACGCTATGGAGGCTATGTGTATTTTATTGTAAATAGCTTACTCTTCAGTCCACAGGTCATGATTCGTAATATTGCAAAAATTTAGTGCCATTTGCATTATTCGGTTCAGTCGTCGTTTATTATTAGTTTATAACAAGAAAAAAAACGTAGACAAAAGAAAACAAGAGACAAAAACAAAAATGTATCAGAGTTTGCGTCGTAGTCATGACGAAAGAGATAAACAAAGGACACTGACAAATAGAAGCAAATTTATAATTAAGTCATTCAGATAAAAAGATAAAAACAAAACTGCTTAGCAAGTAATGCTCAATTAGCAAAGATTAGCATTACTTCTAATCCCATTTAGCTTCCCTAATTCACAAACTAAAACATAAAAAAAAAAAAGTATAATAAGAAAACCATTTTTTATAGAAAGACTTGGAAATGTGACAGGTTCTTCAAATCTTTCTTTTTGGGCTGCCTGTCTCTGTCGAGTCTATCGCTCTTATCTGTCTTTACTTAGCTGGTTTTTTCTTCTTTAACCCTTTTTCTCGCATGATGCTCTCTCTTTAATCCCTTAGAAAATTTATTTATTTTTCCATGAATTCCCCAAATCTTCATTCTTCTTCTTAACAAAAAAAGAAGCATAATCTTATGTATAAATTCTTCATTCTTCATATTGTATAACCCAGTTCGCTAATTTCCACTCCCCATTTCTAGCTCAAGTTTTCAATTCCTAGCTGCAAAACCTCTTATCTTTGGGTCAAAATTTTCGATTTCCCCTAATCTTATAATCCCAAAACCCAAAATTTTCAATTTAGTTTTGCTCCAACTCCATTAATTCTTGAAACCCATCGATTTCCAGTTATAAAAATCTCATTTTTTTGGTCAAAATTTTTCGATTTGGCTTCCAAATCCCAAAATTTTCAATTTATTCTTGCTCCAATTCCATTAATTCTTAAAACCCATCGATTTCTTGTTATAAAATCTCACCTTTGTGTCACATTTTGGTTAATTACTCATCTGAAAACCCCAAATCTTTCTTTAAAAATCTCAGCTTTAGGTCAAAAGCTTGGATTTTTTTTGTTCTCTCCTCTTCAAATGTCTGTAGCTTGTGGACTCGAATGCGTCTTCTGCGTCGGTTTCAGCCGGTGGGCATGGAAACGCTGCACACACGTGGGCTCCGATGATAGTGCCACGTGGACAGCAGCAACACCGGAAGAGTTCGAGCCGATTCCGAGAATCTGCCGCGTAATCCTCGCCGTCTACGAGCCGGATCTCAAAAACCCTAAAATCTCTCCGTCGACCGGGAAATTCGACCTAAACCCGGATTGGGTCATCAAAAGAGTGACCCACGAGAAAACCCAGGGAAGATCTCCGCCGTACATCATCTACGTCGATCACAACCACCGCGAGATCGTGCTCGCGATCCGTGGCTTGAACTTAGCGAAAGAGAGCGATTACAAGATCCTTCTGGATAATAAACTCGGACAGAAAATGTTCGGAGGTGGGTTTGTTCATCAGGGGCTCTTGAAATCTGCGGCTTGGGTTCTGAATCAAGAATCGGAGACGCTTCGTAGCGTTTGGGAAGAGAATGGGAAAGAGTATGATATGGTTTTCGCTGGACATTCTTTGGGATCTGGTGTTGCTGCGTTGATGGCGATTTTGGTTATCACTACTCCGGCGATGATCGGACATGTACCGAGGAGTAAGATTCGGTGTTTCGCGGTGGCTCCGGCGAGATGTATGTCCCTAAATCTCGCCGTTAAGTATGCTGATGTCATCTTCTCCGTTATTTTGCAGGTTAGTTTCAAAATCGAAGCTTTTTTCTTTTGCTTATCTCTAAATGCCAATGTTATTCAAAAGATTTAAGAGAGTTATTTATAGAGGTTTTGTTGGAGATTTCAGTTCGAAAACAAAATTGCGTAAATTTAGCTGGAATGTTTAGATGAGATATTTAGATGAGATATTTTGAGAAATTTTCAACAATAAAAGTGCATCTAAAATTGAGAAAATGGACATCTTTTTGAAAAAAGAGATTTCATGTCTTAACTTTAGGACATTCAAGATGATTATGAGATAAGAAAATGGACGATTTTGTTTAGGTTTTGAAATCAAGGGTTTAAATTTTTAAAATTATGTTTTGGGTTTCAAAAGTGATGTAATTTTGGGGTTAGAGCTGATAGTTTAGATTTTATATCAATAAAATGTAATTTTTTGTATACAAATTTTTACTATTTTGATAATTTGGATCGTGGTAGTTGGTCTATTGTTGACCATCAAGCATTGTCATAATCAGCTTCATTAAGTTAAGAATATGCTTTGTGCTTATACATGGAATCGAAGAATTGTATTTTCCTTTTTCCTTCTCGAGATTGGTCAGAATATTCTGCAAACTTTGGTACTTACTTAGGAGGTTGATTGGTTTTCAAGAAAGGCATATAAAACTTATTAATACTTGCTAGTTACTACTAAGTAGACGAATCTCAAAGTTTGCTGGTTTGTGGATATTGTAGGATGATTTTTTACCAAGAACAGCGACACCATTAGAGGATATTTTCAAGTCTGTATTCTGGTTAGTGTTTTTCCTACAAATTTTTTCACATATTGAACATCTAAAATGTTTTTACTTTCTTTGTTAGTATGAACTTATTGTATAGCTTATTCAACATTTTGTTTTGGACAGCTTGCCATGCTTGTTGTTTTTAGTTTGTTTGAGAGATACATTTATACCAGAGGGTCGAAAACTAAGGGATCCAAGAAGACTTTATGCTCCTGGTCGAATTTATCATATCGTGGAGAGAAAATTCTGTAGGTAATATCAAAGTTTAATGCCATTTTCTAAGCTAATTTTCTTTGTGATGATGCTTCTCTGATTATTGTTTATATATATCTTAGATGTGGAAGGTTTCCACCTGAAGTAAGAACTGCAATTCCCGTTGATGGTAGATTTGAACATATAGTATTATCATCCAATGCAACATCTGATCATGCGATTCTATGGATTGAAAGAGAATCCGAAAAGGCTTTACAGGTAACATTTTATATTTTGTATCTAGTTATTACAGGTAAAAAACAAGATCACAAATCAAATATGGGATCATATGGAGAAAAAAAAAGATGAATTTATGAAAGTATACATTTTACTTATGTTGCAAGACAAATGGGTGGGGCTTAGGGTTTAAGACTGTTTTGTAAGTAAGAAAGTAGACATTTTGCTTATGTTTTAGGTCAAGGGGTTATGGCTAGTGTTTAAGTGTGGTTTTGGTGATGTGTGTTTTTGCAGCAACTGAGAGAGAAGAGTTCAGAGGAGACAGTGGTAACAATGGCACCAAAAGAGAAGAGAATGGAGAGGTTCAATACTTTAGAGAAAGAGCACAAAGATGCGTTAGAGAGAGCTGTGAGTCTCAATATCCCACACGCTGTGTCTGCCGCAGAAGAAGAAGAAGAAGAAGAGCAAGAACAAGAACAATGCAATAATCAAGAAGCATCGGAACCTATGTCGAAGAAGAAGAATTGGGATGAAGTTGTGGAGAAGCTTTTCCATAAAAGCAATTCCGGAGAATTTGTTCTCAATGAGAACGTTGCTCCTAAAAGGTAGATATTGAAGGGTTTGATTGTGAATGGATTGGGTTTTGGGTTTTACTCAAATTTTTGTACATTTATGCGGCTAAATTGTTTAAATTGTTTTTTATATGTAAAAAAGTTACCAACATATTCAACACAAGCCTTTATTGGTGTGTGATTATGTCTTTTGAGTGTCTATAATATTTTTTTTATCATCTCAATGTAAACCATAACCAAAACCAGACTGTATCGAGAACAAATTTCACTTCTTGTCAAAACGATTGAATCTTTAAATATTCAAAATCTATACTATTATCGCGAAGTCAATTTCACAATCGTCCTACTTATCATTAATATATGTTATTTTAATTAATTTTCATTGTCTAATCATTAATCATGTTAAATATCTGTAACATGGATTTTTCTATGATAATGGGCTAACGAATTTGTTCATAAACTCCTTCGATAATGGACTAACGAGATGGGCCACCGATTTTGTATTCGATCATAGCCACCGATTCTCGAAACTCTAAACCCTAAAGCATTTATCGCATTATATATACCTCTATTACCTACATATTTTTTTAACATACAAAAATTGTATTCTGGTAATTGTCAATGCTTTTTATTTTTCTCTAGTAATATTTTTCTTTATTATTCATAAAACTATAAGTTGTTGGTTTTCCTTGATTGTTTTCTTTATTATTTGTAGAATCTAACTAATCTCTTTTTCTCTAGACGTCTTCTTCTTTATTGTTCGTATAACTATAGGTGGTTGGTTTTACTTGATTGTCGTATCTTTATTAAAAAAATTATGTGGCGTTTTAATCAGTTCTTATAAGTCGATCATTAATCTTACGTATAAATACCCATGACATGGCTTTTTCCTTGATTATGAGCCAGCGATTTTGTTTGTTGGCCACCGATCTTGAAGTCGGCCCTAGCCATTGATTTTGGTTATGGGCCACCGATATCAAAGTCGATACTAACTTAAATCCTAACGTATCCATCGTGCTATATATACTCCTCTTAGTTTTCATTATTTCTAACATACAACATCCGTCTTCTAAGGTCTAGCATTTTTTAAAAAAATTCATCAACGTCTTTTTAAAAAATCGATATATGCTATTATTTATGCATTTTCGGAATGACAACCTACTATTTCTTATAGTTCAAATTTCGCTGATTGAATATTTCATCTCTCGCCTTACAATAGTATTGTCAGGTAAATAAAAATAATGTTTTCATTTTAATTCGTACTTTATAATATATATTTTTTCTAATCCTAGACGTTTTTCTTATGTAAATCTATTGCCTAATAGTTCTTTCCTTCAAAAATTTTATGAATTTTCTGAAGCGGCTAGCAATCGTCCCCTCTGTGATCCCAGATTTTGCCATATCACCTGACTCCATCTCAAATCATTTTTACAGAATATGAACATTTCTCTGTCGATGTTTACAACTATAAATTTACAGGTTGGTTGAAGTGTAATTATGACTATCCTAAAGCCATATCGTATAGGTATTCTGCATTTCCGATCCATTGGGTTTGGGATCGTAAAAACGTCAATGGCATCCTCGTCTTTGCGGCAACTCCAGACCGAGTATTATAGCCAAATGTAACCCTAACGCTGGTGAAGCCTATTACTAAAGGGTTTCATTGCATGTCGTTCGCGATCCATGTTTTTATATGAATATAAAGACAATAATGATGTTGTCCACCCTACTTTCAAAGATGCATGTTATGATATGGGTTTAATTCACGATGATACTGAGTATATCAAAGCTTTCTATGAGGCAGGTCAATGGGTTTCTGCTCCTCTCTTCGAATGATGTACACTGCTTTGTTACATGCAGGTTCTATGATAAATCCCTTTTGTGTTTGGAGATTCATTCAATTTTTTTTAGTACAAGTTTCGTCAATTCTTTGCATTGTCTTTGATTTTTTTTTTCCTTAATTATCTTATTTTAACAACTTCTTAGATTTTTTTCGTTGTGTTTGGATTTTAATTTTTTCTCTAATGTACTTTCTAAATTTAATAATCATCAATAAAAATAAACGATTAAACAGATTTATAATTAGTTTTTGCTAATTAATAATTTATGTATTGTTCTTATTTTTACCCATTCATAATTGTTATTTATTGTTATAAAAGACGTACATATATTTTTCCTGAAAAATCATATATACTACTCTTACATTTATTCACCTATAATTCTTACAACTTTGAAGTAGAAGTATAAAGAAGAAGATGTAGTTGATGATAATAACTAAAAAAAAATGAATTTGAATAAAACCATGGAGAATAAGAAGCAGATGAGAACTTGAAGCAGTAAAGAAGAGTAAAGATAATTATCTTTTTATTTACCTGACAAAAAAGAAGAAAACAAAGAGGAATGATAGGGAGGGAAGCATGGAGGGTAGAGAGAGAGAGTTAGAGTTTTTCAGTACATGTATTTGATTGATATAAACGACGAAGGAAAATAAGAAGAATATGAAATCGGAGAGAACGAAGAAGACAAATGTGTTGAAGAAGAAGAAGAAGAATAAGTAGAATAGGAAAAATATGAGGAAAATATGTAGAAAATAGTGAAGAAGAAGAAGATGTGATAAAAACAAAATTAAAGAATAAAAAGTAAGAAAAGACATATAGAATAAAAAGGAGAAAGATAAAGAAATAAAAGAAAATGAGAAAAAACTAAAAATAAGTCGTGAAAGAAAACGAAGAGATAAATATAGAAGATGATGAAGAAATATAAGGAAAAGACGATAAAAAAAACTAAAAGATAAATAAGAAAAAAAAAAGAATATCAAAAACAATTATGTGAAGACGAAGAACACGTCTTAGTTCAATTGGTCTGTGAATTCAATTACTTATTTAGTAAATATTTTTGTCTTTAATTTTGGATAGTGTTTATTTTTTGGGTTTGCTTTATATTATCATATATGTATATCTTAAATAGTTGTTTTAATTTTTTTAGTTTTTAATTTATAACATAAAAATCTCTAAGCCCGCATAAGGTGCGGGCCAAACACCTAATTACTTATATTCTACCTCTAGTCGTCCCAGTTTTTCCTTAAATTATAGAGTGATTTACATGGAAAGGCATTTTCCTGAATTTATGTTACAAAAAGGCACTTGTAACTATTGAGAGACTTTTTGTAGTTGAAATGATGACTATAGCCTCTAGTTACTGTAACGGATTAACCCATTTACCACACGACCGAGGAGTTAAAAAAAAAACTGTCGAAGAAGAACCCTAAGCGGCCGCCGGAGAGAGATAGACGACTGTTTCGTTTCTCGTTTTTGAATTTTCATCCGTTCTGCAACAAAGCGGGATAGTTTAATTGGTGGAGGAGATGACAGGTACAATTTCCCCAGTCTGATGTTGTTTACTTGAGAGATTTTGCACTAAAACATTGACTGCTTCATTTTTTAGTAATTTCGTTTTAAGTGAATCCTGTGTTTCCATTTTGGTGTATAGACGGAGACGTTTTGGATGAGGCCAATTCGCGATTGCCCTGCCGTTTATTTGCTACAGATCGGTTCCTAATCAACCGGATTAATGTGTATTCAAAGCCCGACACTCTTACCTTTCTTAGCGAGAAGCTAAAAGGGACTAAAGAGTTAGACATCATCATCAACTCCTGTTTTGGAAAATTATTCACTTTGCCTGCCGCTAGATGTCAAATATCGTGTAAACTGATCCACTTTTTGATGACCAGACATTTGGTCACCAAGAAGAAGTATGAGCTGTGGACAGTTTTCGGTGGATATCCGTTGCGATTTGGGTTAAAGGAGTTTGGGCACGTGAGTGGATTGCCGTGTGGAGAGTTCCCAGATGACTACGATCCAGACGATCAACCAATAAACGTGGAAAGGCTTGATCCTTACTGGAAGGAACTTATAGGAAATGACAAGAAAACCACTTTGGGAGATATAGGCGAGATGATCGTTCACGATAAAAAGATATCATCAGGGAGACGGCTTAGGCTAGCCCTTTTGTTAATTGTCGACAGTGTTCTGATAGTAAACACACAGGTGCATAGGCCAACCTTGAAATACGTAAAGATGTTGGAGAATTTGGATATTTTTTTTGCGTTTCCATGGGGACGAGAGGCATTTTTGAAAACTATTTCTTGTATGATACCCGCGAGGAGGGTTAAAGGAAAATGCGAAGATCCAGTAGGAGACTTTCGCCAGCTATTGCGACAAGCAACATTTAGAATGCAAGGGTGTCCACTCATCCTCCAACTCTTAGCTTTTGATGCTGTGCCTGGACTACCTGCAGATTGCCATTTGACATGAGCACCCTACTTTACTTGAATGGAGGGGTGGTGAAGCTACATTAGAACGAATCGGTGACTTACAGGGATGTTCTAGATGTTGAGTTTGATAGGAAGGTATGGTTCTAATAGTTTCAGTTCAAAAGTCGAATTAGATGTGTTTGCTGGTTTAACTGTTGTTTGGTTTGCAGCTTGTAGTGCGTCCAATAATTTCTGTAGAAGAACCGGATGAGGATGGTTGGGGCGAGTTTGACGAGAAATAAAAGACAGGAAAGTTGACTACCTCGAGGAATTGTGTCGTGAAGGATTTGAATTTAAGAAGAATATGTGGCCAGGCGGAGATTCGAGTGAACCTTTAATCGAACATGAGTCAAATCCAATAGAACGGCGACACAAAAAACATCTTGTTGATAGAAAGCGCAACCGTGGTGTTACAGAGGAGTCAACGAGTAAACAGTCTAGGATAAAAAGCAGGAAGGACCAGCCCGGGAAGAGATCTAATGACTTTGTAGATGAAACATTGGATATGCAGGTGCTCGTATGCAAGGTTAATTCACTCACCGAGAGGGTAAAAAAACTTGAGGACAGGTACAAAGGGAAGAGAAGTTGCTGGCTTGGTGGTTCAAGTTCACAACGGCTTGCATCAAGCATTAAAAAGAGGAAAGGGTCCAAAAGAAAAAAAGTGATCAGCCCCATTCATTCACCAGAGTCTAGCCTTTATCCCGGTGATTCTTATGGAATAATCATGTTGAATGACGAGATATTTGGAGGAGATGGTAAAGAAAATGAGGTTAGATTACAGTTCATTAATTTAGCATAAACGTATGTTAATCTTCTAGATATAGAAACAGTAAGAATGCTGTGTAATGTCTGCTTTTGTGTTCCATAGGTTGATAAAGTAGACAAAGGAAAGGTGGACGAGAATGAAGTGGACACCGATGGTGTACTAAAGCAAATGAACAACGTTGAATGTGTAAGTATAATAAGGATTTATGTAGATAAGGATTGGCAATTTGTTATCTGATGTATTGTTAAATGTCTATAGTATTAATTGTCGATATATAGAAGAGTAAGAATGCTGTGTAATGTCTGCAATGGCGTTTCATAGGTTGATAAAGTGAACGAGGAGAAGGTGGATGAGGAGTCGGATGCAGTGGACAGAGACGGTGGGCTGGAGGAATTGGACAGCGTTGAATGTGTAAGTATACTAAAGAGTTAGCTAAATAATGTTTGGCAATTTGTTATTTGATGGTGTACTGAAGCAAATGAACAGCGTTGAATGTGTAAGTAGAATAAGGAGTTATGTAGATAAGGTTTGGCTATTTGTTATCTGATGTATTGTTAAATGTCTATTGTATTAATTGTCAATATATTGAAGAGTAAGAATGCTGTGTAATGTCTGCGATGGCGTTCCATAGGTTGATAAAGTGAACGAGGGGAAGGTGGATGAGGAGTCGGATACTGTGGACAGAGACGGTGGACTGGAGGAATTGGACAGCGTTGAATGTGTAAGTATACTAAAGAGTTAGCTAAATAATGTTTGGTTATTTGTTATTTGATTTACTGTTAAATGTCTATTATGAATCTCAGTACTTACAGTCCCCAGCGCTGAATCAGTATGGGACTTGTATGTACGAAGCGTTAGAGGTATATATTTTTTCTCAGAGTGAATGTATAGATATTGTAATGTGCTAGTAAACTTGTTGGGCACCTTACTGGTAAAGGTTTAAATGGTAATGAAGAGTTAAAAGAGGACTACCATACACAGGAACAGTCAGAGGTAAGCGTTCAGCGGAAAGATATGGTGTCTGGCAATCCTGAAAATAGGAATCTTTTGAATTCTGAAAATGATTTGTACGCTGGGCTACAACAGCGATTAGGGGATGAAATAAAACGTCCAACTCCTGCGTTTGGACCGATGCAGGACAGAACTGCATTATCTGAGGTAAATTGTGTCAATGTAAATATATAATTTGAGTTATCTAGTATTCATAGTATTTGTTAGCAGGATCGCGTACAGGAAGGGTCTCCAACTCATATAATTGCCTATATCATTGGGAATCTGGATAAGCAAATGTTGGATGAACAGGTAAGTCGTGGATAGACAGATAAGGACGGTTGTATGTAAAGTATATTTCTGACGGAATTTGTGGACAGGTCCAGTTGACTCAGAAGAGTGATGAGAAAGGACCTGCGATTATTGCGGGCTCCATAGTTGGATTGAACAATGATGAATCGGCACCTTGCGCGAAGGTATTATTTTGTTGGAAATGATATTATTTTTATGTAGTATCTTGGTAAAGTAAATGTTGTATATGCAAAAATTTGGCAGGGTAAAAGTGCAGTTGAAACACATGAGGATGACGGTGTGGTTGATGAAAACAACGTTGAACATAAACCGGCTCCACAAGTATTTGTTAAGATAATGTGCATTGTGTTATTGTGATGTGTTCAAAAGTAGTCGTTAGGCAAAAGTTGATTGTTTTGTGAGATTCTCAAAAGTTTATTATCTTGAGGAATCGCATTATATAACGTTAAGAGTATTAACAACAGTTTGAAAAACCTGAGGCGTGTTTAGAAGAGGAAGTCGCTTTAACATTTTCTGAATGGAAGGACCCGAAGGTATGAAAATGTGGTGTAGTTGATATTTTTCCAGCAAATGAATGATGCATCATATATTTTTATAGGATGGTGGAAAAGAGCTAAATGCAGAGCAGACATCTACTAAAAATGACGGAGCGAGAACGGAATTGGAAGGTGTCATCCAATTAGGGGAGGTGGAGGTAATATGTTTCTTGTTAAGTAAACTGTTGTTGACAGCGACCTGGAAAGATAGTAAATATGGAAAAGAATAAGTGGATATGTGCATATGGATAGCGTAAATTTATCATGTCCATCATAATAGGGTGTAGTGGATAAACCTGGTAAAACACTAG